AATATCAAACCTGAATCACATCCAGACTCTAGGCTTAAATAATAAATTATTAGAAATGCAAATGACAAAGAAAAATGTTAAGTATCATCATAAAGAAGCATTCAGCAAAATCTAAACTTTAGGAAACTACAGAAAAAGCCAATTTCTGCAAGAAATAAATTGAAATAAAAAAAAAGAAGGCAAAAAGGGGAAACTGTAGATTAAGAGGAAACAAGAGGCCAGGTACAGTGGTTCATGCCTGTAATCCCAGAACTTTAGGAGGCTGAGATGAGAGAACTGCTTGAGCCCAGGAGTTTAAGACCAGCCTAGGCCAGATGGCAAGACTTCATCGCTACCAAAAAGTAAAAATATTAGCCAGTCATGGTGGCCAACACCTGTAGTCCCAGCTACTTTGGAGGCTGAGGCAGGAGGATCCCTTCAGCCCAGGAGTTCGAGATGGCAGTGACCCTTGCTCATGGTACTGCACTCCAGCCTGACCGACAAGGTGTAACCTGTCCCTTAAAGAAAAAAAGAGGGAGAGAGAGATACAACAGACTGGTAGCAATTTCAGCCAATTTCAATGTGCTAGCCTTATTTTAATCCTTATTCAAATGAATATTAACAACAGTTTTAAAAGAAATGAAAAGTAAAATGTGTAAAAATTAAGATGCTGTTATGGGCTGAATTGTTGCCTCAAATTTCTTATGTTAAAGTCCTAATCCCAATACTCACAATGTGACTATATTTGGAAACATGGCCATTAAAGAAGTGACTAAGTTAAAATAAGGCCTTTGGGGTGGGCCCTAATCCAATCTGACTGGTGTCCTCAAAAGAGGAGGAAATTAGAGACTCAGGGGCATATGTGCACACAGGTTGACTATGTGAAGAGGCAGCAGCAGGATGGCCATCTGCAAGTCAAGAAGAGGGGCCTCAGGAGAAGTTAAAACTCTGAAAAAATAAATATCTGTTGTTTAAGCCACTCAGTCTGTGGTATTTTGTTATGGCAGCCCTGGCACACTGATACAGATGCTACAATGATGAATAAGTCTACCATTTAATTAATCTTGAAAAACACCTGGGAATATAGAAGTGGATATACTGTGAATCATGGAGCAATAATTCCCAACTCATAAAATGGAGAAAATCAAACCTCCTGGTGGGTAGGTGGGTCATATAAAATTTGAAAAGGGCCCCAAAGTGATTATAAATTTCCTTCTCTTCTCACTTAGAAACACTATCTTAGACCTAACAATATGCAAAAGAGCGCACAAATAAGGGCAAGGTTGGGTCACTGTTTCTTTTAGCCAGTCAACTGATTCTACTCATACATTTTTAGAGAGGTCATATACAGACAGTTTCACCAACTAGAATATAAAAATATTATTACGAGTGATCTGAGTTACGTGCAACATTGGAACAGATACTACTCATTTCCTTCCACTGACCTGCAAAATTCTAAGCCAATTTACTGTTAACTTTTTCTTCTCACTTATAAATTATTCACCATGTTAAAAGACATGGCTCTGACAATTCCAGGTTTCAACTGCCCACTATGTTCCCAACCACTTCATCTTTTAAATGTGTTTAAAGCATTAACAACAGATTGTGTTTCACCCTAGAGACAGCTGGGTTTCAAAGAGAGGTAAAATGTTTCATAATCTCACTCTATTGTCCAAGATAAATGTGCTATTGTATTACATGTGAAGTGTCATCTTTGAAGTCTATTAAGGGTGTGCTGTGAGGTAAGCCATCTGGAAAACACAGTGTAAACTGAAAAATAATTATAAGTTAGTTCATTACTTTTTTTCCAGTTAAGCCTACCATGACAGCTGCTAAAAACACTAAGCAGTATAAAGGGTAAAAAGACTCTGAAGTTGCACAAGTTATACCCATCTCCAATAATGATTAGCTAGTATACAACTCACTCAACTTCTCTGATCCTTTTGGCTTGTCTGTAAAATTGAAATATGGACACATTCCACAAGGAGTTTTACGAGTGTTAAATGAAACAACAGGCCAGGTGCAGTGGCTCACACCTATAATCCCAACACTTTGGGAGACCAGGTCGGGCAGATCACGAGGTAAGCCTGGCCAACGTGGTGAAACCCCGTCTCCACTAAAAATACAAAAATTAGCCGGGCATGGTGGCTGCGCCTGTAATCCCAGCTACTCAGGAGGCTGGGGCAGGAGAATAACTTGAACCCGGGGGGCAGAGTTTGCAGTGAGCCAAGATCGCACCACTGTACTGCACTCCAGCCTGGGCAACAGAGCAAGACTGTCAAAAAGAAAGAAGGGAAGGAAGGAAGGAAGGAAAGAAGGAAAGGAGGAGGGAGGGAGGGAGGGAGGGGGGCAGGGAAGGAGGGAAGGAAGGAAGGAAGGAAGGAAAGAAGGAAGGAAAGAAGGAAGGAAAGAAGGAAGGAAGGAAAGAACAGCTGTAAAGCACTTGGGACAGAGTACACAATAAATGGTATTTCTCTCCTAAATATAGATTATATGGTATTCTTTATACAGGGAATATTAGATAAAATCTAATCATATTTGGAAATCAGGTTGAACGGGTTGGTATTTCAAAGAAATCCATTGAGCTTCCATAATGTCCTTTCTATCTGATGGAGAAAAGGGGCTTTGGAAGATCAAGTTTGAAGCTTTAGAATTCTGTCTGGAGCAGGTTAGGACCACCCAGGCGTGTGAGTATAAGCAAAGCGCTGTCCGTGGTGCTAGTAAGCGCGAAGGCCCCCGGCACCATTTTCCCTACCCAAAATTGTTTTTCAGCCGACTTGCTTAATGAAGCTCACATATCTGTCTCGTCATTATACTCACCCATTGGTTCTTTCTCTATCACCATTCTTTGTGCTCCCGTCAAAGAAGAATATTATCTTCTATTTCCCTATCAACTACAAACAGTTTTCATTTTTCGGACACATTTACCACCTAAGAAATGGCTCAGGAATTCGCTCAGACTATCTTGTCCTAATTTTTTTGATAAGTTTCAGAGAAACTCAAAGGTCAAAGCAAGAGCACAGGAAACATTTTTCTTTTTTGAGACCGAGTTTCACTCTGCCACCCAGGCTGGAGTGTAGTGGTGCAATCTCAGCTCACTGTCACCTCCGCCTCCCGAGTTCAAGCGACTCTCCTGCCTCGGCCTCCTGAGTAGTTGGGATCACAGGCGCGCACTACCACGCCCGACTATTTTTTGTGTTTTTAGTAGAGACGGGGTTTCGCCATGTTGCTCAGGCTGGTCTCAAACTCCTGAGCTCCAGCGATCCAGATCCACACACTTCAACCTCACAAAGTGCTGGGATTACACGCATGAGCTACTGCACCCAGCCTCTAGAAACATTCATTTCTGATGCCTCCTTTGAAAACTCTCTTCGATTGGCATCTCCTCTTAGAAACTTTCCTTGTACCCTCACCCTAAATTCCAGTCTTCCTTACTTCCAAAGTATCTTGTAGATGTATCTCAGTAAAGTAACTTTAAATACATTAAATCGAAACTATTTATTAGTTTCTAGTGCCACTATAGAGTTTCTTAAAAGTGAGGACTCATGTCTTATTCAACTTTGAACTTCTAGAATGTAGGACATGCTGCATTACTTACTTTGAACTAAACTTAATAACTGTATCTATGAGAGACAAGATCCCAATAACAAGAAGGCAACCTTCCTTGTTGCACTTGACTGTGCACTACATTTTGGAGTACCTAGGCTTTTCTGATGAAGATATTCTGGACTGTGTCTTTGCCACCACATCCACCACACCAGTCTAGTGGCTTGGCCCCTCAGGGTGAATGGTAAAGAACCAATGTCATTCATTTTAAAGTCTCCTGCTTCCCACTGCCCATCTTTCCTCCTATTTCTTCTATTCTACCTACACATCTGTTATCCCCAATACTATCCATGGGGACTGATTTCCTAGACAAACACAATCTGTTCATGTGTTTCACCCAGAAGTAGACTTTGGTTCCTCTAGTCAAATCCAAAAATGGAGTGGCTATCAACAAATAAAAGGGCATTTTTACAGATAAACGTGGAAGTTTGAATAAAAGTGAAAGGTAGAGGAATTAAGAAGACTAGGAAATGGAGGTTGGATAGTAAAGACAAAGAAATTGTTATTAATGTTAAGCAGTTCCCTTCCCTGTCCAGGTAGATTTCAGCTCTGTTGAGGCTCTGTCAGATTTTCAGCCCTTACCACCACTTCCATGGGCACCACTGCCTTTAAAAGAAAGCTTTCTCTCATTCTACAGGGATTTGGGGGATGAGGAGTCAGAGCTGAGGTATCCTAGAAGAAACAGGTGGAGACTCTCATTTTGCAATATACAACCAATTGTCCTCCTTTTAAAATTTTGTCTTCCTCAGCACTCTGAACCAAAATGATTCTGTAAATAAAAATTGTTCACTCTAAGGACAGGTTCACTTGTGTAGTTCCTCACCAAAGTTTTTAGGCAACAAATCCATAATTTGTGGTTTTCTTCCTAGTCAATGTAGCATCAGCTGAAATTTTTTAAATAAAGTAATGAATGTTGATTCAAACTCACCTAGGAAGATTAGAAAGGGGAAAAAAAGCACTTGGCATTTAAATCTTCAGAAGAGAATTTAATAACAGGTTTAGCCTGTTTAATGACAGGCTCAGCACCACACCCTTCTCTTATTATGTTTCATTATTACTGCATAAATTTCCTTTACTACTCACGATAAATAAAAAATTAAATGCTTGACAAAGTGGGTTTAAACAGGTAAGAGTGCAAACAAAGATTTACTGTACAAATATGATGAAACTGGGATCTCAGATTCTTAAAGTATAAATATTTTTTTGTCTTATGTGTTCCAGGTTGCCACTCAATCTCTAACTAGTTTTTTTTCTTTTTTGAGGGTTATAACCATAATGCAAAGATGGAAAGAATTTAAAGGCACATGCAAAACAGGATTCTCAGGATTTTTATCTATTTTTATGGCTGACTAATTCAAATAGGAAGACACGTGCAAAAGAAAATTGCTAAGGTTGACACAAGATACGAAACTTACGAAGTTCAAGTACTGCATGGGATGAGTTTAACTTGTATGACAGGTGCAGAGCTGTCGCTTTCAGACATCTTAAGACGGAGTTATTTTCAGTGCCTTTCTCTCGGCCACAAGGGAGCCACCAACGTCTCCCCAGTGAAACCACCTGGCCTAAGGCTGAAGGAACAGAAGCCCTCTGCTCCGCCCACTGGGAATTAGAAGCTGAGGGCAGTGGGTCAACATTCCCAAAATCTTAGCCTTGGCTTTACTAGACATCCAGCTAGCCGCGCAGCCGGCGTCCCGGCGGCTCCCGGGCCCAGTCTCTGGCGCATGCGTCCCAGCACCTTTGGGCGGGCTTCCCCGCCGCCGTGACGCGTTGGCCTGGCCGGCCTCCCCGGGAGCAGGCGGGCAGGGGGCGGAGCCTAAGGGGGTGGGGAGGGGCAGGCCCCTTGGCCCAGCTGAAAACTGAATTCTTTGCCGGCTGGCTCCCCACTCTGCCAGAGCAAGGCGGGGCAGTGAGGACTCCGCGACGCGTCCGCACCCTGCTGGAGAGCCGCTTTGAGCTCGGCTGCGGCCGCGCGAGGCACTTTTTCCCAGAAGCAATCCAGTCGCGCCGGGTGGTTCTTGGGCGCCAGGAAAAACCAGGAGCTAATACCCGCCGCTCTGCCATTGCACGGGGCCCCAAGCCGCAGACGGACGGCGAAGGGGAATGAAGCTGAGCCCAGCTCTCCCAGGAAGAAGACAGTGCGCCGGAGCGGCGTGGGAAAGAAGAGAGGAGTGTCGTTAAGTTCACGGCCCACGGTGGATTATCCGGGCCGCTGCGCGTCTGGGGGCCGCGGACTGCGCGAGGAGAACAAGGGCATGCCCAGTGGGGGCAGCAGCGATGAGGGCCTGGCCAGCGCCGCGGCGCGGGGACAAGTGGAGAAGGTGCGACAGCTCCTGGAGGCCGGCGCGGATCCCAACGGAGTCAACCGCTTTGGGAGGCGTGCAATCCAGGTAGCAGGGGCCCCGGGGCCTCGCCGGCAGGGGGCGCGCGAACGCGGGGCGCGGCCTCGGCCAGTCGGGGCTGGAACCGAGATCGCCGGTGTAGACTTACACAGCAGCCTCCATTGGCCGGAGGTCTGCAGCCCAGGCGTAAAACAGGCTTTTACCAACAAAAATCCTAAAGAGAGAGATTGAAAACCCCACTGTTTCAGCTTTTCATTAAAAAATGGTTTTCTGCCATCTCATGATCAGAGATGCAAGAAATAGATTGAATTGGGGAAAAAAGGAGAAAAAGTTTAGTTGGGGAGGAAGACTATCTTGTCTGCCTGCTTTCAACGATACAGATAAGTAAACTAAGTTATACATTCTGGATTGCATTTAAGGAATTCTACAAAATCATAGTACATGGAAATAATTCAATGTAAACTTTTAAGCTACTATATGAAATCTTTTGTATTGTTTTCTCATAAAGGTTAATTGAATTCAAAGGAATGAGACTGGATTCCTCAACCACAGTACTTAGTTCTTTTTATGTTAGCAATATCTTACAAGTGATGCATAAGAGGAAAATATATACATATAGTTCTATAGATTTTTCATTTAATTATCATACTCAGTGCCCAGATTACAAAAATATTCCTGCAGCAACTGTTAGGTCCTTTTTGAATGGCAAAGGATCTTCATAAATAATGTATCTTTATCTTCATTGTTAAAGTACTCGTATTCAGTGTTTACGAATCCTGCTTTAATTAGTACTGATATTTTTAATTTCTTTTACAATCTTAGGACAACACTTTTGTACTTTACCGTTGGCTATTAGTCACATTCAGTATTCACCTCACTATCACCCTCCAAAACTAAGCTAATACTAAGGGATCTTGTTAACTGTAGATTTTAAAGAAGTGTCAATTTCTTTTGAATTCTTAGAATAGTGGTATAACAAATAAGGGATATTTTAAAGGAGCAAAAATATTGTAAAGTTCTTGAAAACTTAAAATTCTATTAATAATTATAAAAACAAGTTATATATATAATTCACCATTTTCTGAAATACTAAGAACAGCTATTTTCCTCTCTTTTTTCTGTGTAAAATACCCTTACATCGCTAGTAAAAATAACTTATCATGGTTTTCAAGGGAGGAAATGAACATTTCTAATATTAATGAAACAAGCAAACAAAACATGAGGAGTATACTGCCTTTCAATTAAATGGTACATTTTAAAGTACATAAGCCCATAACTTAATTTGGGGCATTTAGTTACCAAAAACTGTCTTATAATTAACTTAAAATATGTCAGCAAATGTTTTCATAATGTTCGTGTACACAAATGGCTGCTATAGGATTACTCCTGCAAAATGCTTTTTCTAAGTTATGCATCATCCTGATTGACTGCTAACATCCAAGCTCTTTTTATTTATTTTATTTTTATTTTATTTTTTATTTTTTGAGACGGGGCCTCACTCTGTTTGGCAAGCTGGAGTGCAGTGGCACGATCTCAGCTCACTGCAACCTCACCTTCCAGGGTTCAAGTGATTCTCCTGCTTCAGCCTCCTGAGTTTTGGGGGCTGTAGGCAGGCCCCACCACTCCCAGGTAATTTTTTTTTGTTTGTTTTTTGTAGTGGTAGAGACAGGATTTCACCATGCTGGCCAGGCTGGTCTCCAACTCCTGACTTCAGGTGATCTGCCTGCTTCTGCCTCCCAAAGTGTTGGGCTTACAGGCCTACAGCACCTGGCCCAAGCTCTTTTTATATAGCAAAATATTTACTATTTAACATTATAAAATCTTAGCTATTATAAAATCCTATAGTATATAAATATATTGTTAGTTTTACATTACATTAAATATATTACACTCTAAATTTAAAATGATGAACTGTTTAAAAAAATCATTTGTCACAATTTTATAGGATAATGCATGATTTAATTTACTTTTCCCTTCTAATCTCCAACTCTGGCTCAATTTATCACACTACAATCTGTTTATGAACACAGACCCAAAATAAAAGCCTTCCACGCAGGCTTTGCTGAGAACTAAACTTTTTAAAAAACGTAGTGGTTTATTTTCTCCCCTAAACCATTACTCCCAACTTCTAACAAACAGTAGTTGGCTTCCTAGTAAATATTTTGAGACCTAGATTATGGAGGAGGAGTCAGCAAGGCAAATAATTTAAAACTTTAAAAGCCAAATAAATTTAACTGTGCCTATAAATCATTTAACAAAATAGATTCCTATGTTCCAATGGAAATTAAGATTTGTTTTCCACAATGACGATCATGACTTTACCATCAACTTTCTTGTCTCTGCACGTTTAGAGAATAAAATGGCATTTAATTTGTACTGAGTAGAGCATAACCTGAAGGTGGGGTGGGAAAGCAGATTGCATCAGCAAATGAAGAAACACCAGACACCAGAGACCCGAACACCTCTGCACTGGGTGGATACTTCACAAATAGGTGTTTGTTTAAATGGCTCTGCTCACCTCGGCCCCGGCCGGCCGGCACCTCCCACACCTGACTCCACCGTGGCTCTGACCACTCTGCTTTCTCTGGCAGGTCATGATGATGGGGAGTGTCCGCGTGGCAGAGCTGCTGCTGCTCCACGGTGCCGAGCCCAACTGTGCGGACCCTGCCACTCTCACCCGACCGGTGCACGACGCTGCCCGGGAGGGCTTCCTGGACACGCTCGTGATGCTGCACCGGGCCGGGGCGCGGCTGGACGTGCGCGATGCCTGGGGCCGTCTGCCCTTGGACCTGGCTGAGGAGAGGGGCCACTGCGATGTTGCAGGGTACCTGCGTGCGGCTGCGGGGGACTGACGCCGGGTTCCCCAGCCGCCCACAACGACTTTATTTTCCTCCCCAATTCCCCACCCCCAACCACCGAATTAGATGAAGGCTGCAAAAGGGGAGCGGCAGGAAGTCTGTAAACCTACAAGCCTTCTGAGACTGGCAGGAAGGGGGAGCCGACCGGGAATAACCTTCCATACTTTTTTTTTTTTCTCAATCCGGCCCTCGACACTCACCGTAAAGCCAAACACAGGCGGATTTCCAGTGATATGTAGGAGTGTGTGAAGTTCAGGTGTCGTTTGCTTTTCGGGGTTTTCTCAGGGAGAGTGCATATGAAATCCTTGACTAACCCTGGTGGCTACTAATCTTCCAATGGATGACTCCAGCGCCGAGTGGGAGACAGTCGTGATTGGCATTTGGGTGGGGGCAGTCCATGCGTTCACCCCACTGTCTGTTGAGGAGTTCTGGTGAACCCACAGGTTAGGCCCTAGCGGGAAAAAAGAAAACCTGAAGACTGAGGACAAAGCGGACGCGAGGGCTGAGGTGGGCTTCAGTAAGTGATCGGTGCTTTAGTTTGGCCGCTTGGCAAGTCCAGGGCGGAAACCACACTCTTTGGAAGCCCTGGGGACCCGCGCCCAGCTCCACCAGATAGCAGAAGGGTAAGAGAGGACGTGCAAGCGACGACAGTTCTCCCCCCAAAATCGTCGTCGTCCTAAAATCCCTGGACCACGATGCTGCAGAACACCTTTGCAGAGGGTGTTGGCCTTTGTTCTTACTGCACTGCGCAGAGTTTACCACGGCGTTCCGGAGGCAAACTGTGCAGGATGAGATGGTGAAGTGGAATGAGAGCAATTGTAACGGTTAACTGTAACGTTTTGTTTCTTGCACACAAGCGTGCGCGCGCATGAATTGCTACTTTTTGCTTTTGTGATATTTTGTATTTTTTAGTTGTTCAGTAACTGTCTTATTTAATGGTGAGATTTTAAATAACATTATAACTAGTGGCTCTCAGTTAAAATGTGAGGAAGAACTACAGCTCTTAAATGTAGCCATGGCACTGTAGCAAGCTCTGTGCAAACGCCTAGATTGCTTTCTCCTTAACCTATTTATTTCTTTGTTAAATTTTTCTGATTGTTTCCTTTATAGAGTGTCTCAGAGTGCGGAGGTCAGACTAAGAAATATTCCAAATGTCTTTTAGAAGATAGATGCACTTATGTAGTAAATTATCTTGGGATATTTCCCAAAACACTGCTGAAAAAAATAGATTGAGTATAAAAACTGTTGTAAATATATGATGGCTTGTGGGATGTCCTACTATCTACTGAACAAATTAAAGATGTACTGCTTTGGGATTTAATTTCCAGTGTTGCTTATTATATCATTGGAAAAAACTGATATTTCACTGCTTTAATAAATAATTAAGATTGAACTCCAAGTGGTGGGTAATTTGGTTTAAAAATACATGTTCATGGATTTACCACTGACTCCTGAGAAATGTTAAAGGTTCACAGGTGTTCCCTTATCTCAACATTTGTAATAATTATTTATAAGCAATACCAACAATTTATAAAAACTGCTT